GTACTAAATTCTGCTAAAACCTACAAATAAAGTCTTAAGTTTTGGTAGTGGTCTTAAAAGTGTATGTAAACACTTCAAATATGTTCTTTAAACCTCTGTGATACTGTACACTTCTCAGTCAAAATAATGTAGTGAAACAATACTTATTACAAAGGGCACTTGGGTCACAAGTCATTAAGGACAATTTATGCTTTGAAAACCTGTGTTAAAATTCGTAATTAATTGCTCTGCAATTTTTTAAAATATAAAGACATTGGCAATTAAACTAGCCTAAATTTAAAATTCCTTTCACTCTTCATCATTCTTAATAAAATGGGTTCCTTTCAACTGCCAAAAAAAAAAAGAAAAAAGAAAAAAGAAAGAAAGAAAGGTACAGAACCCCGGCTTCTTATATTTCAAATTGAATTGGGAGAGAGATATTTTAACAGCCACAATTTATATAGTACCCTCATACCACAAAACAGGCTTATCAAAAGCCCAAGTAAAAATTCTCACACTCGAAAATTAACTTACTTCCCAGGCCCTTATACTACTGAATCATGTCTAAAAATAAAAAGACAGGAGAATTACAGCTGTGGATGGCCAATTTACCTTGTGCAGTCAAAGCATGTCTCGGGTTACCTTGCAGCAAATGAATGTCATCTGCATATCAGTACATATATGGAAGGGATGCAGTATCTGAAACCCATGTCAACTATAAAAAGGTGTTATGTTAATTAACAAGTGTGCCAACACATGAAGAACTGTGCAATTTTATTATCTTTTTTAAATTATCACAATCTAATTTTAAAGAAAAATTTTAAAAGGCTAAGAACCAGTACTAAAAAATTATGCCATGCCAATTCTCTTCATGTCACCCTCCAGTAAAATAACTTGCTAAGTCTTTTCAAACAGAAAAGCAATATACTAGTAGTTGATTTAGAAAAGAGTAATTTCTGTAACTCAGTTTTCAACATTAGGGTCAAGCTTTATAGTAGGGGAATGAAAGAGTGCCAAATCACACATTGTGTAATCGGAGTGCTACCTGGAATACATTAGGTACATTTTTACTTGTTATAATTTAAAAACTGTAAGATAAAATTCTACAGAAGTGAATTAAATATCCTAAACTGACCTTTGTGTATTCACAAAGTATACTTACTTAGTATGCTCACATAGTAGAAGTTTAATATATGAAGCTCATTAAAGATTGATAGTTTCACTGATACATGATGAAAAATATATTTAAAAATCTCAGAAACATATGTTGACCACATGTGTACATGTAAAGCTTTCAAAGTTACTTTAAAATGTGAAAATGAGTAAAGCTCCTGTTATCCTTGATAAATGTCAGATGCCATGCACTCATGTCCAATATATACTATTTTTTACAAAGCAGAGTCCCCAGAAAAGGCAATTTTGAATCCACCAGTAGCATGTAATGGTTATACATAACAAATCCTATTCAAGGTTAGAAGTTTAGAGGTTTTCATTATCAGCTTCATAATAATGCAGGCTTTATATGTTAAATATTACACAGATTCAAAAACATATTCTTAGTAAAACAGCTTTTGGAAACAAACACAGAATCATAAGAAAGTAATAAAGAGTCTGGCACATGACAGATAGGGCCGTTTATAATAAACTGGGCTATTTATACAGCAGTTCACTTTTACATCATTGAGCTGTTACTTAGGCCAATTGTATTTCATAATTAAGTTACAAAATTAAGTACTACAAGAGCTATATTATTGCCAATCTGACCACTTCTATGTCTATATTTTCCAAGTCCAATAAAACTGCCCTTTTAATGAATACTGACTATGAACTACTAAAACTTTATCTCCATCCATTTTTACTAAGAGCAGAAAAATGGTGATTGTAGCAATTCAGATATTTGTTGATCCCATCAAAGTTGGATCTTGCAACTTCTAACAGTTTTCCCCACATATTTTGAAAGCTCCATCATCAAAGCAGCAAGTTTAACTTTCATTCAGTCTTTGACTTTAATAAAACATAACTATCAATAGGAATTTTTTGTTAAAAGCATCTTTTTTATGTGACCTCTGCTCAAGAAATAAAATCTTTTAAAAGTGCTGTTTGATCAACATTAGATTCAAAATACTTTAGCTTTTAAAATTATTGATTCATTAATATTCTCCTATATACCATCACAGCATCAGGTACCTCAAATTTTAAATATAATATCACTAGTCATCAGTCTACTTTCCGTAGGAGATTTTTCAAAATTTAAAACCCAAGAAGGAAATAAAAAAGGGAGAAGGACTACATGTGGTCTGATTACCTCAAGTAAAATAACTTGACTTTTCCATTTGTAACCACAGCACTTCATTAACCTTAAATAGCACATCCATGAAAATTACGGCTTTCTTGGTAATTTTTTAAAATTACTATTATAAGTTTGAGAACAAAAATTGATTTCTAAACATTCTCCTGTACGATGCCCGTAAGTATCTCACCAACATTTAATGGACAATAGAAAAGTGCAGATAGATCTAGGTGTGATTTTTAATTTATTTTTTAAGAATAAATTCTTTTAGATATAAACTTGAACACATGAAAAACATACTATGCACTCTGGCTGGTGTGGCTCAGCAGCTTGAGTTCCAGACTTCGAATCAAGGGGTCAGTGGTTTGATTCCCAGTTAGGGCACATGCCTGGGTTGTGAGACAGGTCCCCAGTAGGGGGCACGTGAGAGGCAACCACACAGTGATGTGTCTCTTCCTGTCTTCCTCCCTTCCCCTCTTTCTAAAAATAAATAAATAAAATCTTTTAAAAAAAGAATAAAAATATACTATGCTGAAATTAACATTAAATAATTACAGGCTGACCACTATAACAATGACTGAATGAGGTTTTAGAAAAACTGAGGTGAGTTCAATTAACATATATTTTTGAAGTCCAGGAATATTTGCGACAGCAAACCTTAAGTTAGTGCTGTGAGAAAGGTAACAATATTTTTCCATAAAATTCCTTTATGGCATCATAAAGCTCTTATTATTCCTCAATACAACCACTATATTCTTAAACAGCTTTACTGAGATATAATTCACTTACCATACACTTAAAATATGCAATTCAATGGCATTTAATATATTCAGAGTTGTACAACTGTCACTTACAACTGTTACAATCAATTTTATAACATTTTCATTATCCCCAAAAAGAAACCCAGTACCCCTAGCTGTCCCTCCTCTAATCCTCCCACTTCTCTCCAACCTCACACACTCCCTTCCCCACCCCTATGCCTCAGGCAACCACTAATCTACTTTCTGTCTCTGTGCAGTTCCGGTTCTCATCAGTTCATTCAGATAGAATCATACAGTATCCAGAACTTTGTCACTGGCTTCTTTCACTAAGCATAGTTCTTTCTAGTTCACCCACATTGCAGCATATATCAATACCTCATTTCATTTCTGAATAATACTTTATTGTATGGCTATACCTTATTTTGACAGACATTTAGGTTGTTTCCATTTTTGGTCATTATGAATGTTACTATGAACATTTATGTACAAGTTTTTACATGACCATGTACATTCTTAAATGAGAAATCCAGAGCAAAAAAAAAGCTCACACACACACAGATTCTGATGATATATGCAAAGAAGCTTCCCAAGTTTGCTAGTAAACAGGAAAGATATGTGGTTTTACCTGTATTAATATTGAAAAACGGCTCTAATGGGAAAAGTGGACAACATGCAAGAACAGATGGGTAATGTAAGCAGAAAGAAAGTAAAGAAGTAAATGGGAACATTAGAAATCAAAAATACTAACAGAAATGAAGAATGCCTTTGATTGGCTCATCAGCTAACTACACCCAGCTGAGGAAAAAAACCAGAAGCTTGAAGATACACTAATACAAACTTCCAGAACTGAAATACAAAAAGAAAAAAAAGACAGAAATATCCAAGAACTGTGGAACAATTAAAAAAGATATATGCATGAAGGGAATAACTTATATAAAATTCAAGAAAAGGCAAAATTGTACTGACTTAAAACAGACTAGTGTCTGCCTGATTTTCTCCTGTTTTCTTGTGGAACTTTTATGGTTTTAGCTTTATATTTAAGTCTGTGATCCATTTTGATTCAGGTTTTGTGTACAGGGCGAAGAAAGCACTAAGGATCAATTTATTAGGTATGCATATTTCATTCAGAGCTATTGATGGAAAGACTCCTTTTCTCATTGCACTGCTGTGGTAACTCAAAATCAGGATCTCTTTCCAGTTTTTGCTCTGTTCTACTGATCAACCCTTACACCCACACACATTTCAAGTGGGTAGAAAACAGTAAGTAAGGAGCAGTAAAGGGATATTTGGACAAAAATAAGCATGAAATTATGGGGTCTTGGCCTAGGAAGCAAAGATTAATAACAGAAAGTGGCACAAATATAGGAGACATGAAAATAGAAAAACAGGTAAGGCCTGTTTACTAACTGTGTCAAAGGGGAGTGGGATTCAAAGACTCCGATATCAAGTGTAGAGAATGATGGCATTGTAACAAAAATTTAAATAACTATGCAAAGCCCTATTACTTTCTTGGCTATCAGACGTTTATACTCATTTTTCTATTTTGATGCAATAATAAAATCTAAGAGAGGAGTCACACGAAATGTTATATGCCAACACAAGCAATCTGGGAAAACGAGTCTTCACAAGGTAAAAACAGGTTAGGTTGATTCAGATTTTAACTAATGCCATTAAAATATTCACACACAAAGACAAAATGGGCAAGAGGGTAGTGTCTCATATTAAACTGTAGCATACAGTTCCCCTCCTCCCCAAAAACTATAGTTTCTGTGTTAACATATACACACACACATACATATTTACTCATCCCAATACTGTGCACTCATTCAACTAATATTATCATTAAAAAGAAAACCATGAAATATAAAAGCTTAAGATTGAATCATAAATTAAAGAGGGCAGTATCTTCAGAGGATGAAGTCAAAAAATTACAAAAGATTGAGTCAAAGAAAACCAAACACCTGAATTACCTGGCTAACCAGTCAAATGATGTTCAAGTAGTTTATTTTTATCGGTCTCTGACTCCACTGTTCAGCAAGTATTTTGATCCTGAAGATTAAAAAAAAAAAAAAAAAGGCGTTGAATTTCATTGCCCTTTCTCAACATTTGTATCAGTCACACACAAATTAACTTTTCCCATATATCCTTCCCTAGACATATGAAACAAACCAAAAAGGCTAGCAAATAAGAGGCCTCTTCTAGAACTTTGAGCTGATGCCTTATTTCACCATGTATTACTGCTCTGCTTAAAAACTTAGGGATGGCATATACATTGTTTTTTCACAGTTTATAAAAATGGATCACACAAAATGGGATAGAGGAAATCAGCCCCAAGTCCTGAAATGTGATCAAACCAGATGGGTAATCTGAACTTGGGGACACCCCCATCTGCCCAAAAGGAGTATTTGACAAGTAATAATTAAAGACAATATTAGTAACCTTATGGCACAAGCTAATGCGTAAATATCCACAGGATGGATGAATGGACAGAGTAAGCAAACAAGAAAAGAAATAAAAACAAACCTGGATTTTTCCCCCTCCTAGGAAAGGCAGCATTTAAGTCACCAAGAAGAAATAATTTTAAATGAAAACAGGGAAATGAGGGGCAGTTCTTCAAATTAATCTGCAATAAAATACACAAGCATCTAAATGGCAGACTTTTGCACCGAAGGAAATGTGGAAGTGGCTCTGGTGCAACCAAGTAAGCCAATAAAAACATTCACTTTCACCTTATGAGTTTCCAAATGTAACAATAAAGCAGCAATCTGACTACCACTAATTCTAGTAGCATCTATAGCAAGACAACAACTACAACTAAGCCCAAAGTTAACAGCATTCATCATGGAATTAGCAAGTCTGTTGGGAAGAGGTAGAAGAAAAAAAAGTAAGATATTCCTAAATTCCAAGTAATGAATATGTCACAGCCATGGCAAATCCCCAACCACCACAATATAGCTGTAGGATGTAAAGGGTCTTTGCTGTACTTTTGAAACCCATATTAAAAGTAAGAAAATTTGGGGTTGGGGGTGGAAAGTACATCATATGTGACAGACAAATGCAAAAGAGAATCCAAGTAGTCTAGCAATGCCATGCAGTTAGTTATCAACAGTTGACATATCTACTAACACGTCTATTTACACTCACAGGATAATCTCTTGCTTATAATTGAGACATATGCCAAAAATAAGCTAGCTCTTGGAATACATCTTCCCATCCACAACAGCATAACTAGTTCTTAGCATGATGGATAAAGATCAGAGGCTTTGCAGTCCACCAGATCCAGACTCAACTCTTTCACTTACTTGCTAGGTACCTCTGGGTCAACTTAAGACTTCTTAAAGACTAAGAGTTCTCATCTTAAAATGGGAATCACACCTCAGAAGGCTCTTATAAAGACTGAGTGAAAATGGGACCTCTGGCCAAGATGGAGGCATAGGTAGATACACTTTTGCTTCCTCACACAACCAAAAGGACAAAAAATTTAAAAACAAAAAATAACCACAACTGCCAGAAAATCGAACTGTACGGAAGTTCAACCAGCACAGGGTTAAAGAAGAAACATTCATTCAGAGAGGTAGGAGGGGCAGAGAGTGGCAGCAGGGGCAGAGAGGACTCTAGGCAAGACTGCAGCTGGTGGAGTGGGAGGTCCCATATCTGCATATACTGATAACCCGGAAGAACAAGTGGGGAACGAGACAGATTACGCAACCCATGGCTCCAGTGTGGGGAAATAAAAGCCTCCAAGCCTCTGCTGGTAAAAACCTGTGGGGGTTGCAGTGGTGGGAGAAACTCCCAGCCTCACAGGAGTTCACTGGAGAGACCCACAGGATCCTAGAATATGTACAATCTCACCCACCCAGGAATCAGCACTAGAAGGGCCCAATTTGCTTGCGGGTAGTGGGGGAAGTGCCTGAGAGCCAGCTGAGAGCCAGGCAAGCAGCACTGTTCCCTTTCTGACCCCTCTCCCCACACAGAGTGCCACAAAGGAGCAAAGTGGGTTGCCCCACCCTGGTGAGTACCTAAGGCTCCGCCCCTTACAACATACCAGCTGTGGCCAGATCAAAAAATATGGCCCTAATGAAAGAACAGATCAAAGCTCCAGAAAAAGTACAACTAATCGATGAAGACATAGCAAACCTATCAGATGTAGAGTTCAAAACACTGGTAATCAGAATGCTCACAGAAACGGTTCAGTATGGTCACAAAATGGAGGAAAACATAAAGGCAATGAAAAGTGAAATAAAGGAAAATGTACAGGGAACCGACAGTGATGGGGAGGAAACTGGGACTCAAATGGTTGATTTGGGCCAGAAGGAACAAATAAACATTCAACCAGAACAGAATGAAGAAATAAGAATTCAAAAAAAATGAGGAGAGGCTTATGAACCTTCATTACATATTTAAAAGTTCCAACATCTGAATCATAGGGGTGCCAAAAGGAGAAGAGGAAGAACAAGAAATTGAAAACTGATTGGAAAAAATAATGAAGGAGAACTTCCCCAATCTGGCAAAGAAAGAGACGTCCAGGAAGTCCAAGAAGCTCAGAGAGTCCCAAAGAAATTGGACCCAAAGAGAGCCACACCATGACACTTCATAAATGAAATGCCAAATATTAAACATGAAGAGAGAATCTTAAAAGCAGCAAGAGAAAAGGAGACAGTTACCTACAAAGGAGTTCTCATAAGACTATCAGCTGATTTCTCAAAAGAACTTTGCAGGCAAGAAGGGGCTGGAAGGAAGTATTCCAAGTCATGAATGGCAAGGACCTACATCCAAGATGACTCTATCCAACAAAGCTTTCATTTAGAATGGAAGAGCAGGTAAAGTGCTTCCCAGATAAGGTCAAGTTAAAGGAGTTCATTATCATCAAGCCCTTATATGAAATGTTAAAGGGAATTATTTAAGATGATAAAAACATGAACAGTAAAATGAAAACAAATTCACAACTATCAACAACTGAACCTAAAAAAAAAAATAAACTATGCAAACAATTAGAACAGGAACAGAATCACAGAAATAGAGATCACATGGAAGGTTATCAGTGGGGAGAGAGAAGTGGGAGAATGAGGGAAACGTACAGGGAATAGAAGCATAAATAGTAGATACAAAATAGACAGGGGGAAGTTAAGAATAGTATAAGAAATGCAGAAGCCAAAGAACTTTTATGTATGACCCATGGATATGAACTAAAGGTGGGGGGAGATACAGGGCAGAGGGGAAATAAGAGGAGAAATGGGACAAGTGTAACAGCATAATTAATAAAATATATTCTTTAAAAATTGGATTGAGTGAAAATGGTTACATTCCTTATTAGTACCTAATATGTAAATGCTCGGTAAATTAAAAATATTATCAGCCAAACAAAAGACTACTTGACAGATAAGAATTTCTCCCTGACCAGTGTTGGCTCAGTTGGTTGAGCACTGTCCCACAAAGTGAAAGGTCACCAGTTCACTTCCATCAGGGCACATGCCTGGGTTGCAGGTTCGCATGGCCGGTCAGGGCCATGTACAAGAGAGAGCTGATGGAAGTTTCTCTCTCACATCGATGTTTCTCTCCCTCTTTTTCTACCCCCCCCTAAAAATAAATAAATAAAAATCTTTAAAAGAATTTTCAAGCACAATGAAACATAGGGAAAAAAACAATCATTAGTTTTATTTTTTTAATAAATTCAATGCTTTATGAGTTTAATTTTTCTGGTATCCAATTTAATTAGAAGATGAAGGGAGGGAAGGTAAATCCAAGGTTTTCAGGCCCTGGTTCTAAATCAAGTTTCACTTCAGAAATGCTTCTTTTTTTCTTTTGTTTTTCAATTTTTTTATTGTTGTTCAAGTACAGTTTTCTGCCTTTTCCCCGACCCCAGTCCAACACCACAGCCCCCCACCTCTCTACCCTGTTTCCACCGCCATGCCCCATTATTGTCCATGTGTCCTTTATAATTGTTCCTGCAAACCCTTCACCCTTCTTCCCTGAAATTCCCTCCCCTCTCCCCTCTGGTCACTGTCAGCCTGTTCTCAATTTCAGTGTCTTTGGTTATATTTTGCTTATTTGTTTGTTTTGTTGGTTAGGTTCCTATTAAAGGTAAGATCATATGGAATTTGTCTTTCACCAGCTGGCCTAAGAAATGCTTCTTTTGGTGATGGTCCTTTACATGACAAGCAAGCGAGGGTTTAGGGTGGGCAAGAGCCTGGAAAACAACAGCAGTGGGAAGAAAAATGAATTTGATTCAGAATGAACCTAGTACCGTAACAAGTATAGCTGCCTAGTATGGAATGTTGGCAAACAGAGCCTACATTAACACTCAAGTATTATTGTACTGCTGCTGAGACCTACTTAAAGGAGTGCTGACCCACCCAATTTGTACCCCATTACTCCCAGGGATCCAAAGAAACACCATCTACAAAATTCTCCACTCCCAGAAGTGTGCAGTTGAACTAGAGAGGTCTCCAAACCATGGATCAATGATTAGCTTGCCTACCAGGAACCTGCAAGAGGGTAGATATGGTCTAAAAAGCATATGTACTATGATCCTGTAAAGTATGAAACTGTTATGAAAACTGCAGTTAGCTTGTCTAGAAAGCAAGATTCTGCAAATGCAATCGTCCTAGAAGACTTCCTGAAACTGTATTTAATTTTTTTCAAGAATAAGCTTATTCTTACCACTTTCCATTATTTGGACCTTAGTCAATCACACATACAAAATCAAATCACACTGACATAAAAACTGAATGACACATCGAAAAATACTAGATATCTGAGAAAGGAGGGCATTAATTTTTCCACTAGAATTAAGGAAAACGTTACTGATGAGATCCACATTACCAAAACCTGTATTACCAGAAAGCTAATGGGCGAGGGCAGGATCAAACTGAACTTCGTTAATAGCTGGTCTGAGAAGATGTCCCTCAGAGCCAAAATAAAGACTCAAACTGGGGGTGGGAACTTAACAAAGGATAATCCAAACTATGTAACGCCAATGCCTGGAAACACCACATGAACAAAAAGAGGCCACTGAATATTATGAACATGTCTTTTCTTTTGCTGCTGAA